TTATGATACTATTGCAAAGTTTTACCTAAATCTCTATGCTGTGGATCTGCTTCCAGCTTCATTGATTCAAAGAATCTGTCACGACATTGCATTTTTGTCTGATGTTGTTCAGGGAAGACTAAACTTACTTTTAAATTCAGAGTTGGAGAAACTTGGTGTGGATGAAGACAAGAGAAGAAATATTTGATCCAGGAAGCGGAAGAAGGGGATAACTCAATTTTGGCCATTTTTCAGGAGAAACGAAAAACTGTTAGCAGGGAAAACTAAAACAAAACAAATGGATGTTGCAGATGTTAATAATTTCAAAAAGCATTAGTAAAATTTTGGAAAAAGAATCAAAAGTGTAAGGTCACTCCGTAGAGGATTTCTGCGACTTGTCACTTTCCGTTGAAATGGAAAACAGAGTCAGCTCACCTTATATTTCCTAAACAAAGAGGAATTTGGAGACAAGTCAAGTGGAACAATAGTCTGCATTAAGTGTATGTTACTCTGGTGTATTTTTTGGACTTAGCTCTTTTTTCCAAATTGAAATTTAAAATTAAGGGGGGGTTAAGTTGAGTTGATTCTTTTTACACTAGATCCATAAAAACACAAGTTGAGTTATATCCTTTTGCCAATTTGTCAAACGGACTCATGTAGACTAAGGTTGAGTTATCTCCATTTTCCAATGAAATTTAGACTGTAAAAGGGGTTAAGTTGAGTTATACCCTTTTTCCATGTGGATTTTCTCCTAAACTGCTTGGAATTCAGTCAAATAATTTGGTGTAATGATGTAAACCATTCTAAGGCACAATAATAAAATAAAAACTCAATTTGGGGATAAGTCAAGTTATTCCCTTCTTCCGCTTCCTGGATCAACTATCAAGATAGCTATTGCCACTTTTGTACATACAGAATCTATGTAGAATGTCATACTTCAGCTAGAGGCAAAATTCCGATATAGCGCATAAGTATTTATAAAATCGTACGCAACTTATGTGCGAATGTGAACAGAACTTTCCTATGCCTGAATATGGCAGTACTGTATGGGCTCAAAGTCCATAGACCCAAAGTGTACTCGCGCGCGTATGTTCATGTTCGTGCAGAGCTGAACAACCATAAACTAAATCTTGTTTAAGGTTACTGTAAGGTGAAAAAACTATCTTCCAAAGTATAGGTGGCAGTGCTTTGGTTTTTGGTGATTTGGTTGCTTACTATGAAAAACCCTTACAGCCACAGACTGGACTCCCAACTCCCATTAGTTCCAAAGTTATGACGGTTTTAGTGTCATTTTAGTCGTTTACTAAAAATTCTCCTTGCGATGAACCAAAAAGTTTACGGAGTTGTGATTTTTTTTATTTTAAGGCCCAATGGACATGCAAACAGACTAGCAAAGCCGGATTAGACAATATATGCATAGATAAGCTGTAATTTCTGTTTGGAAAATGAGTTTTGAATTTTTTACTGAAATTTGGCAAAATTTTGGTATTTTTTGGTGTTTTTTTGTGTTTTTTGAGAAAAATTCCTGTTTTATGTTGGAATTTTGGAAATCCGGCTTTGCTACCAGATAGGCAAATCAATAAAGAACTTGTAAAACAAAAATCAAGTCTCGACAACTTTTGGTTCATCGCAAGGAGAATTTTTAGTAAACGACTAAATTTGTTTCGTAAACTTCAATAACTCAAAAAATAATGGGAGTTGAGTGCCTCAACTTTGGGTTTAAGTTCATCTTATAGTAAGCAACCTGAAACCTAAATACAAACATGATGCCACAATTATTTTGAAAAATGATATTTCACATTTTTTCACTTTACAGTAACCTTAAGTGGGACCCAGAACTCTGCTGTAGTCGCTCAAAGGTGTCCGATTTTTTTTCCTTCTCATCGATGTTCTCCTTAGGAAAAGTGGATAGAAAAGTTCACTCCACTTTATCTTTAACCGACTACTTAAGTTATACGAGGAGGAGCGAACATCTTACAAAATCACGTGGACAACCGCTGGCTGCGGCGTATTCAGTAATCGCAAGACTTAATCAGTCTGAAATTCGAACCTCGGCGCCGTAACCTGCACAATATTCACGCCATAGTAATTACAAAACCAACTGTAATAATAACGGCACCATAGTGTAGAGTGATGACGTTTACATCTTCTAGACCTTTAAAATACTGAACAATCTGTAAAAGTGCCTGTATTGTATTTTCTCCTCAATAAAACAGAAAACTGAAAAAGAGGGGTGGGAACACAGCAGATCTTTCCCCAACCTCGATTCATCCATTGCCCTACTCTACTTCAAACACGCATGATGCAAAAGAACGCGATGCTTCCAAATCTCTCCAATCCGAGACAAAATATCTGCAACGTTCTCTTCTCGTGGTTTTGCGTACAATTACTTTCAATTACTTTCGGCAATTTCCACACGCTTTGAAATTATGTCTACTTCCCTGCAAAAATTGTTGTAAATTTTAAAATATTTTCGATGCTAAGTTTTTGACGATAGCCTCCCCTCTGCTGACCTCTCCTCTAGTTTGGCCACGAAATCTGCCGCTCTGCGAACGGAGAAGAGTGCGGTTTGTTCATGGAAAAGGTTAAACTGAACGTCGACGCATTACTAGAACCACTCCAAAATCTATTGACAGTACACTCCAATTGTTGTACAGTGAAGATTCTCCATATTATGGTGAAAATGTTCCATATCATGGTGGTGCAGCTGACTCAATAATATACCATTGAGAGTTCACTGTACCTTGTAGATACTTTGACGAATTTTCGTTGGTATTATGGAGAAAATCTCCACCATCGTATGTTAGTGCAGGCTTTCACCGTAAGACATTTACGGTGCCTAGTGTTTCGAAGGCGCTAAAATCTGCACCATCCTGGCTGTAAATTGTGGCAACCGCCAACTACGCACCCTTCAAACTGCGTGGGAAAAGGCGGTGCGATATCTATCGCCACTTTTCCTCTTATTATTGGACTCTGGTCCGAACGACTTCATTAACACCCTGCACTGAGAGTGGAGTATAGCGTCAATTGGTGCAATGCCAAAGCATTGCACATGGAGTGTAATGCCTAGCATAGGGCATCTTCGGGACGCATTGCACGTAAGGTGCAATATGGCTGAGGCATTGCACCAGTTGGTGCAATGAAAACGTCTTCAAATGCATTGCACCAGATGATGCTATACACATAGCGTTTGGATTCTCAGTGCAGCTATTATACTGTACACTGCCGACTGCCTTGTCGCCCGGTAACGACGCGCTGAATAAGCGATGGCCTAATAGGCCGTATGGCCGCCAGGCGAGCCACTTCGCCCAAGGTTCAAACGGCTCGTAGAGGGCAGTGCTTTATGACGACTGTCGGTCGCAGCCCTGCCACAGCACACAGAGAGCCAGCAGACAGGTGGAGATGGCCACACAAAGTACAGTCCTTACAGATAGCGTGTTTGTAGGTTACGGATAGTTTTGTGCAGCCATATTACGGATCGAATTTTGTTTGTAATACGGATATTTTTGTCCGTAATACAAAGATTTTGATGTCCGTAATTTACAGATAATTTCGTAGTAACATACGGATTCCCAAATCTTTGTATTACGGACAAAAACACGGTATATCCGTAAGGACTTTGGCGTTCAATTCTAGACGCGTTGTGAGCTCCAGAGTCGCTAAATGGGACTTGAACCGAACGTGTGAACCCACCAATAGATTGCTCTCCGAACGCAGAATCCATCGGTGGGGTTCGGTTCGAGTCCTGCTCAACTAATCCAACATTGTATATGCTCTGCCTGAAGCATGCCTGCAAACACGCTCTAGCTAGCGCATGCCTGCCAAGCACGCACTTACTAGTGCAAACATGCCATGCACAGTAAACTTCTTACGGATACATCCTATCTGTATTACGGACATTTTTGTGCAATTGCAATTACGGATAGATTTTGCTTGTAATACGGATGATTTTATCCGTAATACAAAGGTTTTCGTGTCCGTAACATACAGACGAAAATATCCGTATGGTACGGACGTAAAACTCTTTGTAATACGGATGATTTCATCCGTATTACAAGCAAAATCTATCCGTAATTGCAATTGCACAAAAATGTCCGTAATACAGATAGGATGTATCCGTAAGAAGTTTAGTGTGTGTACAAGCTATTACTGAAGCATACATCTAGTGTATAAGGGATAGGGAGCTGTCTGCATCACGAAGTGTGTACATGCCATGTATGCACTAGTAAGTGCATGCTTGGCCGGCATGCGTTAGCTAGAGCGTGCTTGCAGGTATTCTCCAGGCAGAGCATACAATGTACGCTTTTGAATTTGTAGAGTGTAGCAACTCTGGAGCTGAAAACGCGAGGGGCAAATCACTCGCGTAATAGTCGGGTCACCGATTCCTTGTATTACGCGTGATAGTAATAGCGTAATAGCCAAAATTTTCTGAATTTTCCGTTATAAGGGTCTGATTTTAGTTAAATCACAATATTTACAAACGTAAGACTTCTGTAATAGTGTAATAAGCATGCTCCAGCGAGGAGTGTACATGCTAGGTTGACTCTAGGTGGAGTGTACATGCTAGGTTGACTGTAGGTGGAGTGTACATGCTAGGTTGACTCTAGGTAGAATGTACATGCTAGGTTGACTCTGGGTGGAGTGTACATGCTAGGTTGACTCCAGGTGGAGTGTACTATGTCGATACTTAAATTTGTAGAGTAGAACGTAATAGGTCACAATTTTGGTGAGTGATTTCCCCCTCGTCAAAATGCGTCTCGCATTGGCTGTCTCCACCTGCACTCTCAAAACCTTGCGCAGAATGAATTCGCATTACAAACCATTTGGTTTGCAACTTGCGAAGAGTTTTGCTTGATTGTATTACGAACTGGTAGTTCGCAATTTTGCGAACAACGTGTTTGCAAGGGTTCGCAAAACAGGTTGTTCGCAAATTGCGAAGCACTGATTTGCAATACGGATGCGTCCTTCGCATTGCAAACAAGTGAGTTTCTTCGCAGGCTTACAAACACGTTGGTTCACAGGGATTTAAGAGTGTGCTTACTAGCTCGCTATGCGGGCCGCCTGCGGCCGCCTCCTGAGGCCTGTTATCGCTGACTTGTACGTGAAGAGTGAGAGCGACGAGGAAGGCCCTCTGACCCAGCACTTCCAGTGGTGGCTCAGGACCCTTCAAATTAACCAGCTGCCCGGTCTCAAGTATGCTGTTCTGGCGTGGCTGCGGCAAGGGACGGTAAGTAAGGTCAAGGTCAAACCACTGCGAGCAGGAGAACAACTTGAATTTTAGTTTGCGTTTCCCTTGAAATAACGTCCAAATTGCGTGAATTTACCTTAATTTCGAACACGGCGTACAAATTTTCTGAAAGTTGTTTGCTCGTCGGTGCGCAGGAAATTCAAGGAAGACACCAAGAGGACCACCCCAGTAATTTCCTAATCCATGAGAAAATTTGTCCTTTTTCCGCAATTTTTCTTCAGTCGAGCATAAAATTTCGCTTGAAGCCATTACGCTTGTAATGAAGCGTCGACTGGACATTCCCCCATGCATTGAGGAGGGGGGAAACTTGGCGAATGAACCTGTTAAGCTTGATTACTGATTACGCTTGAAAACAGAGGGTACATTGTGCAAGCAGAACATAAGTACACAGTTTGACTGTGTAAGCAAAGTAAGAACACAGGTTGATTGAGGAAGCGCAATCGAAGTACACACAAAACCCAAAGATGGTAAAATTTCCACAATCGAGGGCGGTATTCGTTTTACCGCCTTTCCAAGTGAGGTATTCGTTTTACCGCCCATTGAAGGCGGTAAATTACCACCTTCCACAGTTTTATCACCTTGAATGTTCCGTTTGGAGGGAAATTTAAGGCGGTACAGCGGTGAAAGGTGGTAATTTTACCGCCTTCAATGAGCGGTAATTTTTGTACCACACTTGGAAGGCGGTAAAACGAATACCGCCTTCGTAAGACCATGTGTACCGCCTTTCGATTTTGAGTGTACTCAATCTGATTGTGCGAATAAAATCCAAACGCGCAGTGTAATTTCACCAGCGTTTCATCTTCTCTCTAGGGCGGCATGATCATCTCTGTGTTCATCATGTTCCACTGGTCGTTGGAGAGCGCCATTTCTCGGAAAATGTTCGGACTGCGGATCGCCCTGGCTATGATCTCCTGCATCATGATGGCCTTGATGCTTCGCCTGCGGCTCAACCACCTGCTCGTCGCCATCACCTACCTCCGGGACGTGAGCGTGGTCGTCGAATCCTGCGGACCGCCTAGAGCCCGGGTGAGCTCACGCAGCTTGGTGTGTCAAGCGTCACGTACACTACAAGTTGATCCATGAAGCGGAAGAACGGGATAACTCAATTTTCATCATTTTTCAGGAGAAACAAAAAAACTGTTTGCAGGGTAAACTCAATCCAATGAGATAAATGATGCAATTGGATTTTCGTCAAAAAAGCCTAAGAAATAACTGTGAAAATTTTCAAAAGTGTAGCATTCCTCTGTGAACGGTTTCTGTGATTTACATCTTTGCGTTGGAATGGACTACGGAACCATGTTTACTTAGTTCTCCCAAACGAGGTGGAATTAGGAGACAATTCAACTGGAGCTGAGGTCTGCGTAGAGTCTTTATTTCTGTGGTACATTTTTGGAGGTACCTGTTTTTTCCAACTAGTGATGGGGAGTTAAGTTGAGTTCATTCTTTTTACAAAACATTCATAAAGACACAAGTTGAGTTATCTCCTATTGCCATTTTGTGCAATGGAGTTATGTGAACTTCGGTTGAGTTACTTCCAATTTCCGATGAGATTTAGACTGTGAAAGGGGTAAAGTTGAGTTATATCCATTTTTCTGTGGATTTTCTCCTAGGAATTGGGTCAAATAATTTGGTGTAAAGCAATCTTATGCTTTACTGTGTATAGTCACTCTGAAGGGTTTCAGGGCTCTTTGAATAAATCAATCTCTCGACAGCTGTCACCGGTTGTGTATCGTTCTTTATCATTACACTATCCTATTTGACACCACGTGAATCTGACTCAGTATACTCGCTGACATGGTGCTCCATATTTTGGTGCCACATAAAATACTACAATGTTTTGCAATGTAGCCTACTGAGAGCTGCAATGAACTTCTTTTGCAATAAAAGTGTAACAATTTTGCAGGGATCCCTAACTTGACATTTAGCCGACACTGCTGCATAACGTAACATTAGACAATGTTCGCTAAAGGTTAAGGGTACGGACTTTGGCAAGTACTTCCAAAAGCATCTCAAACCCAAATTCGAGACACAAGAAAAATAACTTGTCCTATTGAAAAGAAGTCAGAAGTTAAGGGTTAAAACTTTAACTCGTACGATAACGTTATGATGCCCTTTTGAGATAAGTTAAGGATTCCTGCAATTAAGCAAAAATGCCTACTATCAAAATGCAGCAAAAAGGTATATCAAATATTTGCGGCTAAATTGTCACTTTTCGTTGAAGTTAAGGGGTGGCATAATATAGCAATAAATTATAGAATGGCAGGGTGCGACAAATAGTGGGAATTGCAGCCTCGGTTTAATGGGATAATGAATGACAGTTTGAAGAAAAATTTTCCCCCTTATAAATCCAGGTCCGAATGGCACGCAGGGCGCGGTTCTGCGCAAAGCTCGTCCGCTTCTACGAGATCTACTGCTGGGCCACCGAACTCATCCTGATGGTTGTCATAGCGGCCACCAAACAGTCTTGGCATCACACCGCTGCACAGGCAGTGGTGCAACAGCTCTATGGTTATTCAGGTCAGAGGCGTAAGCTTTGCACTGACAGAAAATAACTGAAGTGGAGGCCGACTAAAACTAAATCGATTTTACCGAGAAACTTCAGAGTTTTCAGAATTGACACAATCAACCAAACGTCAAACTTCACTCGTTTTGCCACCCTGTTTGGGTATCTTCAAAGGAAAGTAACGATAGACCTGCCAGGGCTTTTTATGAGATGGTGCTGAGAATGATTTAGTTTGAAGAGTGTTTGAATCGAGACAAAAATTTGAACATTCGTTGCGTGCTGGTGCTGAGAATGATTAAGTCTGAAGAGTGTTTGAATCGAGACAAAAATTTGAACATGCATTGCGTATAGGGGCTGGATCTGAAGGCAGACTGTCCTAAACCATGCAACTTATTTAAAAACGTTGACTTATCAAGGAGACGGCACTGCAAGAGATAAGCAGTATAAAGTATAGCAGTATATATATATATATAGCAGTATAAGATATAAATTTTTATCAGGAATTTATTCTACTTTTCAAGTGTTTCAAGTACAATTGTTGTACAAAGTACAATGGAACCGGCATGACGGGTGCTGGGCAGGGCAGTCCAGACCTCGTTGTGGTTTGTGCAATCCTCGGTGTACTTTATACAATCCCTGTTGTTCGTTTATTGTACAGTTTTTGTTGTACTTTTGTTGTACTATTCACACTTTTTCTTGCAGTGGGGTGTATCCTGCATTTTACTGGTTAGAGGGGGCCAGGCCGACCAGGGTGATATTTGAAATCTTAGCATAATGAGACTCAGGCGCGGATCCCGGATTTCCGTTTAGGGGGGGCACTTTTGGCAAATGTGTATCACAGGTTGCCTACCTACAGGGGTATGACCGCCGATATTGCGACGTTTCGCCGCATTGACCGTAAAAAGAGTAAAGTGGGCCATTCTCGCAGCAAAATACGCATTTGAATACTCTTCAGACTCTGTTCATCGAGGTGTGAGTGGATAGCAGGTCCTGAACCATACAACTTGTGTTGTTTGGGGCGAGCGAAGCGAGCCAGAAGCTACCGACTTTGTTTAAATTTGGGCTCATTTTTTTTCTTTTGTAAGGTTTTTATGTGAAAACAATTAACACTGACTGGACGTTAAACTAATACGTGTATCTGCTTGCTGAGCGAGCCGCAAGCCACAGATGTTTCAAAATTAGGAGTGGCGTTTTATTTGGTTTTGAAAGGTTTCTAATTAATAACCCTACGTGTGCGTTACGAACTAATGGACGGTCCCAGTTGTTGCCGGCGAGCGTAGCTCCATACATTTTTAAAATTAAGGCTCAATTCTAACAAGTTACAGAAGTTTGCAATCTAAAAAGCAAACAGAAACACAAATACTTTGCGAGCGAAACGAGCCACAGGCCATGGGCCGTTCAAATTTAGACTACCAATTTGTTCTTCAAGAGGTTTCTAAAGAATGACCAAAACAATTTCCCGATAGCATAACCACCTACCCAGGCCCGTAGCAAACCACCACCCTATTTCTTTTCGTTACAAGACTATGACTTGGACCGAACCGGCTAAGACTTGTTCACCAAGTCTGTTCCATGTTGCGAGCGAAGCGAGCTGAAAGCTCCGCAACTTCAAATTCAAACTTACCAATTTTTCCACTCCACTCAAGTATCTTTTTTCGTTCTTCCCTTTTCTTCTCCTTTCCCCTCTTTCTCTCTCTCTCCCCTCTGTCCCTTTTTTCCTATGCGCGTCTGAGGATTTTTTTGCCCCCCCCCCCCCATCCGCGCTTAGAGACTAAAATCATCGACTCGTGTGCTTGAATCGAATTAGTTTGAATTAAAATGACGAAAACCAATTGATTAATTTAGGCTTTTGACAGTGTGCATAGTGCTTGCGTTTTGTGAACCAGTGCAAATGTGTCTGGAAATTTTGCTTTCAGATGGGCAGACTCAGGCAACCTTGGCAGAGACCATGCGCTGGTGCCTGTACCCATTCCAAGTGATTGGGACCACGTGTTCCGTGGTGGTGGGCTACAGCTTGATCTCTCTCATCATCGTCATCTACCTTTGCATGTCCGAGCTTTACTACTCCATTGGACTAGTTTTGGAGGTAACATTGGCAGACTTGACAACTAGTTACTTGGTACTACTCCTAGTTGCCGGGAACTAGACGCAAATGCTCGAACACATGCGGAAATTGGATTTCAAACCAACGTTAGTTAAGGCCCTAGGCATCATTCCGGACCTGGGAAAGACCCCTACACCCTTCAATTGACAATTCACCTTAACCATTTTTTACCAAAAACGTTTGTGCACATTTGTTGTATTTTGTAAAGAAGTTCAACTGCCAAAACAAAACTGATAACAATGAACTTTTACCAAAAAAGGCTAGTTTAGGTTAATGTGAACAAACGCCAAAAAGTTATCAAACAAAAACTCATTGCGAGTCTTGAGCAGAAATATTTAATGTTCCCTGCGAAACTTTCAAGTAGTCTTTTGAATCGCAAATTATTTTGCAATTATAGGTTTTATTGATTAAAAAAGTAATTCTTCCTATATTGAAGTCTTGAGAAACAGATGGACTTTTCAGTATTTTTCATTGAGCAGTTGGATGGTTTCCTAGCACTTTCATCGTAAGAGGAAACCTTGAAAATTTTGTTGGGTTCACGCCAAAGCATTATAGAAGAATTTTTGCGGTTTTAAATTCATTTTTGGAAAATTAAATTTTACTTTTGATTTTTCTTTCAAACATTTTTTAAAGTAGGCATAAATTCCGGCCTAAAAGCCACAAGTACAAATAGAGTCAGCAAGGCGACTCATCTAGTTGCAACCGAAACCCAAATTTTTACAAAAATTTTGTGCACAAACGTGATTTCGTAAAGAAGCAACTGACAAACCAAATGATAAAGAACTACCAAAAAGGTGTTTAGGTTAATTGAAACCCAATTATCAAACAAAAACTTATTCGATTTGGCGAAATATTTAATGTTTCGCTTCTTTCAAAACTTGCCAACATAGTTTCTAATTTGAAATCAAGAAATTAGTTATATCAAACTTGAAGAGAAGGGTTTCGTATTGCAAAAAATACAGTTGCAGGACTTCTGTACTTTTTCTCCATTATCGTGAGTTCTTTTGGAACCAGGACGGACGTTTCGTACTTTTCCCGTACTGCCTTAGTTATTTCTCCTAAGCACTTTCCACAAAAACTCGTGTTTTTTTTGTTGTTGTCTGGTGTGTCTAGGCGCACGGCTGCTCAGCCCTCTGGGCGCGACAACAGAGCGCGCTGACCATGGCGTGTCTGCAGCTGGACGCAGCAATAGCGGACTTCATCCCTCATCTGCTGATCTGCAATGTGGTTTTGCCCCTTTTGTACGCCTTGGAGGTGAGTGGGAGCGCACAGTTGGCCAGAAGACGGGCGGAGGCGGCCAAAACTCTAAACGAGTTTTGAGCTCCAGAGCCGCTACACAGGACTAGAACCAAGCTTGTGACCCCACCAATAGGTTCCTCGTTCGGAGAGCAATCCATTGGTGAGGTCACACGTTCCGTTCGAGTCCCATTGAGCAGCTCTGGAGCTGAAAACGCGTCCACAATTGCGGCCGCCTCCACCGGTCTTCTGGCCGAGGAGTGACCCACTGTTAGATTAAGTGTACAACGAATGTGGGAATGTGCAAGATTTCTGCTATATTTGTCACTCTTGTTGCCTACTTACAGGCGTCCTCGCCTGCAGAATGTGGGAATGTGTTCAAATTTTGTACAATGAACGTGGGAAGTTATTCCCCCCCTCGCTTCTGGCCCACTGTGCACCGCGTTGCTCCAGGTGGTGCTGCACGGCGCGGAGGCGGACCTGTTCGCCATGGCGCTGGCCCCGCTGGTGCTGGTGGTGTTCGTGCCCTTCTGCCTGGTGGGCGACGCCATGTGCTCGGCGCGCGCGGGCGTGGTCGGCCAGGCGTACGCCGGGCCGTGGCTGGAGGAGCGCGGCGAGGGGCTGCAAGTCCGCCGCGGGATGATGCAGTCCGCCACGGGCCTCGGCGGCGTGCTGCGCGGCAGGGGCGTCGGCCCGCTCGACAGGAAGCTGTGCGGCACCACCATGGCCAACTGGTTCAAGTTCCTCCAGACTTTCCTGGAGTTTGCCGGGCGCTAGGCAAGGGGAAATGACTCCGGCCAAATTTGTACACGAATTCATCCAACTAGTAAAATTCACTAAATTCATTAAAATTCATCGAAATTTGATTGAAATTCACAGAAATTTGACTAAATTTGATCGAATTTCGACTGAAATTCATCGAAATTTGACTAAATTCCATCGAATTTCGACCGAAATGCAACGAATTTCGACCGAAGTTCGACTGAAATTCACTAAATTTGTATACACCGAAATCCACAATGATTTCCCCTTGGCGGTAGGATGGTCGATGTTCAACCGGGACGAAATGGCTGCAACAGCGGCGGTCTGCGACTGCGGCGAGGGGGAGACCACTCGAGAAATCCTGTGTCCCCTGCAGCCTTAGAAATCCCTGGAAATGCGATATCTTTCCATAAAAAGGCAAAAGAAGGCAGATTTATGGCGTAACATTAGATGAAGTCTTTCGGAAGGCCACAGAAGGAAAAAGTTCAAAATTCCTCACGTCTAACTACTATTGGAAGCTAAGAAGGCTCACGCCAAGAAGGCCAAGAAAACTGCCTAGGATTAACTGGCACCTGGCAAAATACGCGGTAATTGAAATTGACGGTGCGAGGAAACTGATTCTGCCACTGAAGGGGGCAAGCCAGCCACGGTTCTTCGTTCACGCCGAGGAGCTGTATACGAAGTGTGCCGTGAAATTCACAAGGCAAGGTAGTCGGGACAAAATGACGTACGATTCCAAGGAGGGAAAGTACGTGAACCTCTTCCAGAAGATACTGCTGGAGAATTGCGAGCAGTGTTTCCTGAAGGGAAGTACGCAAAAGATGGGGTTACGGTAGATGGTTTTTAGATACCACCGCCCCCTACCTTCCCTGAGGTTTTTTTCCTTTTTAACCCAAAATTGCAGTATCGCATTATTTACATTAATTTTCGGGTCCGAGTGAAACATTAAATTGAAGATTTCACTGATGAGCACGTCAACGGTTTGTGGGCTTGGGCACAAAGTGCAGTTCTGAAACGAAGCAGCCGATCACGCGGCCGCCCCTCGCGGTCTGGTGTCTCATACGGTAGTGGCCGTAAGGGAAGATAGGATACTTCGGGAACACCCAGTTCACGGGCTCGTTATCCACCACGTATGTCCCCTGAAGAAAGAAAGAGACGCCGGTTAGTCAACCCGTTATGGCGGGTCTGCGTCGGGCCTGCACTGGTAAAACTTAAGCGCAGTATTACCCTGTTTTCAAGCGTTATCAGGTTACGCTTGAAATAGAGCGTTACACGCTTGAAATCAAGCGTAACAGGCTCATCCGCCAAGATTCCCCTTATATAAATGCATGGGGGAATTGATCCAGGAAGCGGAAGAAGGGAATAATTCGACTTATCTCCAAATTGAGCTTTTATCTTATTATTGTGCCTCAGGATGGTTTGCATCGTTACACCAAATTGTTTGACCCAATTCCTAACCATTTAGGAGAAAATCCACATAAAAAATGGATATTACTCAACTTGACCCCTTTTACGGTCTAAATTTCATCGGCAAATGGAGGTAACTCAACCATCATCATCAGCGCTGTTAGGCCTCAGCAGACCTCTAGCGTTCGAGTAAGCAACTACTGCAAGCGAAGGACTCAGACTGCAAACCTCAAATGCAGGCAGTCCCACCCCAGCGGGTGGAAACTACCTTTCCAAAACATTGTAAATTTACGATTTTTCTCCGTAAATTTACTTGAAACCGTAGTACATTAGCGACGAACTTCCGTTGATTTCCAAAGGTTCCTGTAGGAAAGAAACATTTACAGTGCACTTTTATACATTCCCAAAACCCTTTGGAAAATATTACGTCTCCCAACATTATATTTACAGTGTAAAGCTCTAAAACGCGTGTAGAATTTTTGCCGCCTCCACCGGTCTTCTGGACCACTGTGCTACGTTCCCAGTCGTCTTTTCCTTGATTTGAGGAATCTCTTGTCCTCACCCACCACCCAGACACAACAAATCTAAGTTGACTAAAAACAATATATCTGAGTAACTTTTCTTTTGTTTCAACAAAATAACGTACCGGTTTTACAACACACGGACCCTTTTTGTTGGGGTCCTGCTTAAACAGCGCTCTGAAGAAGTCCGGCAGGTGTCGTCGAACGGCTGAGCAATAGCCGTTATTTCCATTGAAGACGAAGTAGTTGCTTTTCCACTGGTTGTTCGAGCGTACGTCTAAATACAAAGTGGACTGAACAGAAAATCATAATCAGAATTTTCTTCACCTTGCCTCGCATCACTAAGACCTTCCTTCTCCCGCATACATTAAGGAAGCATGGCACCTAAGCCGAAAACTGCTTCATGTGATTGTCTGAAAACGAGTTGTTAAAACTTAAAATGTCTACACTCTCAGACTCATATTGACTTTTTTTCTCTCCATTATTGGCTTTTTGTCCTTTGCTTACGAAGTTTTTTAAGCAGCAATAATTTGTAACCATGTACAATATTGTTCACTATAAAGAGTAATGTCATCAATTATTGACTATTTTCTAAGTCAATTGCGTAATGACTCTTTGTCAATAGCAAATTGACAAGTCAATAAAACGAACGAAATCTTACATATTGACGAAATAGTACTTTTTATTGCTGTGTAAAATACTCTTTAACAAAGGACAAAAAGTCAATAACAGTCTGAGAGTGTAAACTGCGGAACGGAACCGAGTATGACACATTGTCACGCTCCTTTGAGCTTACACACTTTGTTTCAACGTGATGTCACGTTCATTGAGCGAGAAAGAAACAGCATTTCAAGACAAGAACGGCGATTATCAGACGTCAGGAACCAGAGCAGCTACAAAACAAAGTTTCGTTAATAATTAGGCCGTCGTCGTAGCGCAGCAGTAGCCTAGGAGGCGGTCAAAATTTTCGACGCATTTAGAGCTCTGGAGTCGCTAAACAGGACTCGAACCGAAACGTTTCACCCCACTAATTAATTGTTCTCCAAATGAGGACTTCATTTGTGTGGTCACACGTTTGGTTCCAGCGCAACTGAGCGATTCTGCAGCTTAAAACCCGTCAAAGGTATTGACCGCTTCCACCTGTATTCTGGCCCGCACTGGGGCATGCATTAACGGTACCATGTTTACTGTAAAAAATATTGTGAATTTACGAAACATTTATACACGATTTGTTTCATAAAAAACGTTACTGTTCTGTCAATCTCCAAAATGCACCGTGATCCCACAAAATCGTTGAAAAATGCATCGTAATCCTACAAGAGCACTTCGTGAAGAGGGAAATATTAAATTGGCTTATTTACAGACAATATCGTTACGAAATGTTTTGAGGTGATGTCAGCAGGTATTATCCCACCAGTTATAATTCCCATCAAATCGTCCGAGACCACCATTGGAAAGAGGAGAAAAAAACTTAACAAAACAATTTTTTTTCCGGGTTTTCTTCGAAACAAATAAATGAAACTTCAAAAACGGTGGAACTTTTAAAGTGTGATACCTCAAAACGTATTTTAAAATCTCTCAAAAAATTCCAAAATCTACAAATGAAGCTGAACAGCAGCGTAAACCCATCATTGCCAGCTTTGTTTTAATCATCTCGAGACACAAAGTGCTGGGGACTATCTACGGACGAAGAGGGAAGCCCATAGAGATGTTCTTCAGAGATGAACCAACAAAAATATTCATCTCCATTACATCTCACACCAACGAACAAACTCCTGTTCAAGAAAGCACGAGATCTGAAGAAAGTGGGGGTCAAATTCGTGTGGGAGAGATTAGGCAACATGTATGCTAGAGCCACCAAGGAATCCAGAGTAATCAAGATCACAAGTGATGAGGAAATCCTGGATATCAAGAAATCCATTCCACCCTTCACAAATGGTGGTTCGAGCAGACAATTAAGTAAGAATGTGCCAAGTTAGGCACCCCAGTTATATATACTAGTTTATGTTGGTGATGGAATATTCCTTCTTGAACTTAGATCAGTAGGTTCAAACCAAGTTTAGAGTAGAGGAGTTGAACTTTTGTATACCAATGCCAGGAGTACAAGAAATAAACTCGATTAATTCAAAATAATAATTGATAGAGCCAAGACTCCTGATGTTATAGTAGAAACTGAAACATGGATTAAGTCGGGAGAGGACTTTGGACTAGAAGGCCACGAAGAGCATCATAAAGCCTGTACAGTTTTCAATAATCTTGGTGAGTCGGTGAGGGCGGCGCAGACGCTACCAAAGTTCAAAAAAATTGTTAACGTGTTAAATGTATTGCATTCTCTATTGTCTGTTACATTGTGCTTTGTTATCCTGTTTCTTTCCTATGATTTTGTTTACGGATCTTGAAGTATATATGTATATCCATGTTGACAGCTCTGTTATGAAACGTAAATGTACAGTCCTAAACCAAGGTCAATGACCTTCCGGGCATGCCTGGATTATTAAATAAATAATATTGACTCGCCAACCCTCGTTTTCTCTAGTGACTAACCGAATAGCCTATCAAGCACGGTCGTGGTTAGTGGATTGAGAGTAACCGCTCTAAGCTGCCCCTGACAAACATGGAGTCCCTAAAAGAGCTATCGCTCCCTGCCGTCAATGGTAAAGCAGAACTTGGAATAGCAGCAGGTGTGGACCCTGCTCTTGATGAAAAGCTAAGCCTGCCTGTACTGAGTGTACTCACTGGCACCAGCGTTGGTAAAGCTGCGCGACGTACGAAGCGACGTGAGCCTACATGAAAGACAAAAATGACCAGGAGGAGTTCATGGCTAGCGCAGCAGCAGCTGCTGTCATCTGCGGGTGGACGTCTAGCATCTGTGGCGACACAAGGACGGTGACTACTCCCAACCAGGATATGACAGACTTCTATATCACCCATATGGAGGTGATAGACGCTGCCACAACCTCGGCTAAGGTGAGTAGATCCACTGCCATTGTGATGGCGACAAAGTTAAACTGGTACACTACTAACCACCACACTGGCAGCGACAAAGCTAAGCTGCCGGGTTATGTGGGTTAGGTGTACAAAGCCACA